CTGTTCCAGAGAAAGCCAAAAACATGAACATATCAGAAATATTGGATGCAGCAGATGGTGTGTTGATCAATCTTGAATGTAAAGATATAGATGTAGCTTGTGCTATGGTTGTAAGAACTCGATGCTTACAAGAAGTCACACTTGCAGAAAAATGTGGATCAACTTGAGGAATACTCCTCATATGATTTTACGTATTTGTCTGTTGGAACATTTAGGGATGAGAAAACTCTGACACTAAGAGGGAACAGTTCATTCATTCTAACACCAAATAAAGATAATAATACAACACCGAATTTTGAGATCAAGGATGAGGGTAATACTGATGTTATCAATGATGCCACGATCATAGGGACGCAGTATTGTAATCTGTATTGGAGCTGCATTAGTTGTGGAAGGAAACTTGATTTAGTTAAACACGAGTACTGTAAATGCTCAAAGTGTCACGTTGTACAAGAGACCCAATTGTGAATTTCAAGCATCATTTAATATCCTGTTTGCAGCTGCAACTGCACATAAGCTATTGAAAGCCTGTACTCCAGTAATGAAAAGTCTACTAGGAGACAGCATTGACAATGAAGTTGAACAAAGTCTTCTGAAGATAAAGGACCTGATGGTCGTAACATATTCAAAGAGACACAATTATATTAAATCAATAGTTATATCCTCCAACCCAGTTTTGTAATGTATGCTTTCATTATGTATTCTTTCATCATTAAAATTAACATTTTTCGTTTAATCTTTTGTCATTTACTAACAATTATTCTATATCAAATAAATTATTATTAAATTTAAGCAGCAGCATTGAATTTGGCATCAAATACCATTTAAGAACAGAAAACAAAAAGCAATGTGAAGTCAAAAATAATTCAACTAGTGTTATTAACTTTTAAAACAATAAGAAATGTGGGCAACAATACAAACAAAAACAATAATTTATGTAGTGGTATGATTGACTCCTTTTTTACATTTTAGCAAATAAAGAATGTTTAAACTTAAAGAGGGAGGCAAAATAGAAATCCATTTAAGAAAACAAATACTTGATTAATTCACTACATAATAATGATAATAATAATAATAACAATAATAACAAAGTAATAAAAAACAACAAGGAACAACAAAAATGCTGACAATAACAATGATAGTAGTAGTTATAATTTAATAAGGAAATGAGAGAAAGAGAAAGTAGAGAGAGAATGAGAGAGGATAAAAATTAGGGATAGAATAAACAATTGTTAGTAAAATAACTAGTACAATAAATAGTCATAGTCAACAAAAAAGAGGTTGCTCTCACGAGTTGAAGGTTGAAGGGAGAATTGAGAATAGGTTTGTGATGAAACTCCTCTAATACACATGATAGCACATCAATAGCACATCTTAGTAGGGCAAAACTAAGACAGCAACATAGAAGACCCAGAGTCAAGGACAGATGTTGATTCACAGATACTTTCACAGTAAAAGTAGGAAGTAGATTTTGACAACCACAGGTACAGTCAGATGGAGCATCAAGAATATTCCATTCAAACTGAAGGTGAATGGCATCTATAAAAGTAGATTTGTGGAGGTGTAATCGAGAGAAGTTAAGGGGAGAGCTGAAACCCAGTTTGATGCTCCTTTCTCAGTGCAAAGGTCAAAACTGTACAGAGCGAGTAACTAAAAAAGAGAAAAAAATACATATAAATAAATAAATTAAAAACATAACTTTGTAAGTAAATCAAGATTCACTATTTGTATAATAAAAAAGAAATAATCTAAAAAATAGTGAAATACAGTGTATGTTATTTTTGTCATTCAAAGCCTATGGTCTCTCTTTCCTCTCCCTTTCTTTATCAAGCTAAGCTGTAAAATAAGTACAATGCACTGGTCTCTTGATGATTGATAATTCAAATGATTTCAATGATTCCTCCTCACCTTCAAATCAATTTATAATCTATAAAATCCAATAAAAGTTGAATGTTAAAACATCTAGTAATTTGTGAAAAATACATGCTTAATAAATTGCTTCAAATACACAAGCTTAATGTACTTGTAATTGTAATATAATTTAATACTCAATACAAGGTACAAGGCATAATACATGTGTACATGTAGGATTATTAATGTTATGTACACTTGCTTGTTTGTCTTCCCTTTTGGTCTAATATAATTTTTTACTTCATTAAATTATATGCTACTCTTCCATAATTTTGTGCACACATCTCTCTTTGTTTTCTTGGAGAGAGGAAGAGGCATTTGAGAGAAAGAGAGAGTGATGACTGGAGACTAAATGAGATTGTGAGAAATAGACATGATACAGGAGATTGCATAATCCTTGCAACAGCAGTTTTAGTTGGTTTATTTTGTTAAGTGGGTCATTCATTATTAAGGAGAACATCTAAGTAGCTGTTACTTCCTTATAAGAAAGGTAAGGCAGATTTCCAAATTTTATTCCTGTTGCAATGATATTGCAATCTCCTGTACATTCAACAAATGTTTTTTATGGCTAAATTATGAGTAAACAATGACATCATTTGTTATGATAGTGGTACACTATATTGTAATTAATGCTATATACAATGTATTAGAGCATTATTAATTAACAATACACTATGCTGAATTAGTAATAATAGAGCATATGTGACCATAATTGACAAAAGGTACCTTATGGCGGATTTTAAAATTCATCATTAAAATGAAAAATATCATCCTGTGAGTCCTCTGATGGACAAGCATTGTTTCTAAAAGTTACATAGGAACTTTTTGCACCCTTTGGAGTAATTTTATGATAAATGAAGCTCAGGAAGTTGGATTTTTTTGGCTATAAAGTCAAATTTCACTACCCACCATAAGGTACCTTTTGTCAATTATGGTCACATATACACAAAACAGTAAAAAATAAGCTAATTATGTTACTTTACAACTGAGGATGTACACATGATTATGCTTACTGATTCAGATGAAATGATACTTGTCTGTCCAAGTTAAAAAAAGAGACATGTACCGGTACTTGTATAGCTGAAGAAGTACAATGAGTAGAGTGGCTAATATTCTATACATGTACAACAAAATTATGATTACGTACACTTAGCTATACCTATTTCATTCCTCATTTACTGACTCTAGTTTTGACTTTCCTTTCCTTTTCTCCATCCAAGTTATACATAGCATTAGATATATGTGTTGAATTGGTGAACTCATTGCCAAATGAAATAGGAGATAGTCTAAGAGAATGGGAATGATTTAAATGACAGAGAGAAAGAAAGAAGAGCAATCAGATTACAAATATCATGCTTAACATTGATTGCAATAATGCAATATTCTAACTTACCCAAATCAGGCACAATCATAGAGGTAATGTGATGAGTATAATCCACTACATGTACAATTGTACATGTCTATTCTTTAGATGACCAATTGTAAAAAATGAACTATATAAATGTACAAAAAAACAAATATACACGACCATGTATAAATACAAAACTTAATGTGCATTGTGCTCACATCAAAATGGATAAATATATAAAACAAATGTAAGTTCATCTATAAAAGTAAACTAAAATCTTAAGCAAAATCAAATTTAATTAAGTGTATGACAGTAATATACAAAAATACTTTTTGTTGTTGAATTGACATTACAGTGACCACAGCAGGTATTCTACTTTTAGCATGATAAAGTTCCTAATATAAGAAAAAAATTGATAGCCTTAATTTATTTGTTAAATGATATCCTTACTAGACTATCTCCTCTGATTACAAAAATATGTGTATGCATAGTTACATAGTGTATGTGTAGTTACAAAGTTTGTGTAATGCATGTATTAATTATGTACATGTAGTATTGCAGGTTGGACCCATTGAGAGTCACTGTACCAATGTAACTGATAATGGTTACAATACTTATATAAACCCCCGACTCCATGCCAAAATGTGAAGCCACAATTCTTTCAGGTGCATTGAGCCATTGGGGATTATGCACTATCATACCCATAAAGGGTAAAAGTGCCTAATAATATCATAGTGGTAATGAACAAAATATGTCGCTATAATATGTATGTGACCCTTCAATAACAGTCAAAAATAGATCTGTTATAGTAAATGTGATCAATTAGTGAGCCAGGAACAGTAGTTGGCTCATGTACAATTTGATTAAAATTGTGAAGAGTCATTAGATTCATTAATCTGCTATCATAATTGCAAGATAGTAAATCAAGGTTAAAATCTCCAAGTATAAGTGTTGGAAAATCAAAACCATTTAGATGGTTTATTACAGCATTTACTGTATTAATTAAAAATTCCATAGTGCTACTGTGAGATCTATGTAGCAAAGCAATAGCTAGGTATGAATAATTGGGCAAATTTAATTTCACAACAATGCCTTCGATGTAGCCCCCACTGATAAAGTTAAAATATCAAAAGTTATAACACTGGGATCAAGACTTATCATTACTCCCCCTTTGTTATTATCAGATTGCCTATCACACCTGACTACAGTGTGACCATTACATATTTTAGGAGACAAATGAGATGGACTAAGCCATGTTCACAAAAAAACAAAACACTGGCAGCTTTCATCTTACTATCACATAATATATCTGGTATTTTGGCATTAATGGACCTTACATTTAATAGACAAAATGTAATGTGACTATTTTTTAAAGAAATTTTAATTCTGGCAAAAGAAGACAAGAAATTGTTGTTAAGCCTCTTCATTTCTTGATCAATACAGTCACTTTTTTATTGCAGATGTGTTAATGTTTAGTATGTGCAAACCTTCGAGAGTTTTTACTCTGCTGAAAGCAACATACGCTTGCCCGGCATTAAACTGTCCACCTTTCATGTCCACAACAATCTCATCAAGAGTGAGACCTTGGACCTTGTGGATGGTTGTTGTCCAGGCTAAGGTGAGTGGATATTGGAGGCGTGTAATATCCATCCCACAACTGCCTCTAAAAAGGAAGGTAGTCTCGTGCTTTCTTAGAGGTACTGCAAAAAGTATTCTTACATGGACTACTAAATGTCGGGTTTCAACCTACTGTTTGGTTATCAAATTTGACTAATATTCTAATAGGACTATTTCCTTCATTCACTACAACATGAACAATTTCTCCACTGGTCCCATTAACCAGTCCATCAGAGACATCTACATTAACATTGAGCATGACAAGAGCTACAACAGCTACTTTTAATGTGGTATGTAGATTTCCAGTCTCTGTTCTTTTATCTGGTACATTGGACAGGTCAATGGGTTTACCACCAGTTGCATCAGCTGCTTTAATCAAAAATTGTTCTTCAGATGCTAGCTTGTTCAGCATAAATTTGCTTCCATCATCTACATCTTTATTGAGGCGATATAGGTGACAAACATGAGTTGGATAATCATGTGATTTAGGAGTGATAATTTTACTTGAAAGAACATTAATGTCTTCATCAGTACAGCTACTTCTAAGCTGTATGAACCCTACACAGAAGTTCAGTGAAAAGGCTATCACCTCGTTGCCTCATAATTTCATGAAGTTCAATCATTTGAAAGTTATCTTACCATAAGAACCAGACTCGTGTAAAGAATTTAAAGAGCCATTATTCACAGTAGCAAACAAAGGAGCTTGCCCTACTAGAGGTAATTGATACAAATCACCAACTGCAAGGACACTAACATCCCCAAACATTACATCTTTGGAAACACTCTTGATTTGACTGAGTCTTTTGTGTAGGAGTAAAAGTAAGTTGGACCAACCATAGACACCTCATCTATTAAGAGGAGTTTTAAGTTGATCAAACGTGCACGTAGTGTGTTGGCCTTCTGATTAATCAGTTGCAGGTGGCAAAGTTGACCACAACCCAATAAAAAAGCAGAATGAAGAGTTATTCCATTTATATTGAAAGACGCAACACCTGTTGGTGCAGTTAAGACCACAGCTACAGTCCAAATTCACCTGAAAGCCTTAACAGTTTCATGGTGTCACTTTGTACTAGTCTGATGACATGAGACTTCCCAACACTACCAGGACCACTAAGAAATACTCTCTAAGGTTCCACTCGAGCATTGTGACGCAAAGCTATAACAGCTTTTTTGCACCACCTACAATTAAACATTACTATATCTCTTTGCCTTGAATTCAATCCATGCATTAACTTTCTGTAATGATCAGGAGGAATCTCCTTATTTGCGGCAGCTTCAAATTGAACACAAAGTGACTGAGGCACATTGTTAATGTTGTCATTTGCTTGAAAGTCTTCCTGAGTCACTTCTGTAAGCACTTTGCTGCTCTCTTAAAGAGCACGTGATCTACCTTCTCAGTAGAAAGGGCTATCTCATCACAGATATGCTCTGGAGGACCCACCAGATTCACATCAATATCATCAACATAAACAAAGTTATATTTCTCCTCATTACTAGTAATAATTGAGTGAACATTATTGTAATGCTCCTCATAGGTCGAATAACCACGAAGCAAATCTACATCCTCATTATACCAAAGATAGTATAGCATTAATTTTGCTCTGTACCAATTTGATGGGTCAGATTCATAGTTGAACTTTCTATATCTAATGACAGCGTCCCCACCCCTTTTTTTCATTTTCCCAAAACCAGCTGTTAAAATTATTTCTTTCTCAGTTTCTGCCACACTGCTATCAATAGGGGCAATGCATCACTCAATTACCAACTCTGCAGTCAGTGACATAATTTGCAGCAAAATCAGCCAAGCACATGGACTGTAAGCTTTGTGGTCTGTGCTGATATCTATCTATAAGGATGTCATAAAAACATTAGTATCATTATCAGCTAAATTAAAAAGCAATGTGTCTTCTTTTAATTGTGCTATTCTAAATTCTTTTGTATTTGTGTTGATAAAGACTACAGTTCTACTTAGCATTTTTAAAGGCAATGAAAGTATTCTGTAGACTACCTCTTGTGCAGGCACATCTCGGTTTGACGAGAAGGCATAGCCTATTCTACGAAGCTGAACAGTAAAATCTTCGTTCCTAACTTCTTCAAAAACAGAATGAAGCATTTCACTCATTGACTTTTCTGCCTTCATGATGTATGAAGTAACATACATCATGCAGGCATACGCATTTAGGACATACTGGATGTCCATAATTACTCCCCATGACTTCAAGATAGCAGTACTATAATTATTGACGTTACATTCAGATGGTTCCCTTTTTAATACAATAATGTTACCTCTAGTGGAATAAGTTATTGCCCTTGAGTAATCTGTTGGATCAACTTCAGCCAATCTTAGCAAGGGGATCCT